AGAGATAGATTGGAAGCTATCTATTTTTCATGTCTTTTTTCTATTCTTTACTTTATCTCACATTTTCTTTTTCCTTTTCTTATAATTTGTATTTTTCATTTTCTTCTTCATTTCTAACTTTTAACCTTATAATTTTAAAACTTTAATAAAATATTATAAAAAAAAAACTTGCTTATGATACTCAAACGCTACTGAACAGAGGTATATGCAGACTGTCTACCTAATTCTGCTAGCATAAACTCTTAGTATCAAATGTGCCATTGTCCTTAAATATCTGAAGTTTTTGGAGACTGCTTGATATTTTATGATGGAACTGGATTTTTCTATATTATTCTTGAGTTAACAAATGAAGGGCCTAATGATTGAAGTGCCCTTTTTTATGTATGAATGAAGGATGGCTGTTTTCATCTAAATCACAAATAAAAGTCTTAAAACACTATTCTAATATTAACTAGAGGTTTATAGAATGGTAATTTTGCTGGTGTTAAAGTTCAGCACTGGGTCTCTTTAGATATTCTCCGTATAGTGGCAGTTTCTGTACATTCTTCAAGATTTTTAAAAACTTATTATCCTAAAGAAGAAAAATCAATTCAACGGCATTAATAATGTAATATAATTTCAGAATCGATCATGATAAAGAAAAAATTAAAAAGGAAAAAGAGATAAATGGCCAGGCAAATTGTTATACATAGAACAACCCCTCCCCAGATTTGAAATTCTAGTTCTTAAGGTGTTTGTTGCTTTACCTCCTATTTCTTTCCTGTCTGTTAATTAGACAGGAATCTGCTCTGCATCCCCTTCTTTGTAACTTTTTTTGTGATTTGGTTAAAAAGAACCAGAGAATCTGTTCATCTAGTATGGAAAGCAGAATATCTTTTAAAAGACATTGACAACAATCTAGCAGCGTTTTGCGTGCTTAACCAGGCTGCTTCGATATACCCTGGAATATTGTCAATATTTGAAAAGCCCATCACTGTGCTTATTACTTATAATACCTTAGAACAATATTTTTTGTAAAGTGTATTTGTTAGTATATAACTGGGTTAATAAATAAATCATTATAGAGAACTAAATATAAAAACTGCAAGCAGTATTAAGTGTTCACTGCAACTGGTCTTTTAACTATATGCAGATAATATGAAACTTGACTGTCTCTGTCTAGGTCAATCGAATTCTTAAAGTTGCTAAACCGAATATTGTGGTAATGAAGTTGCTGGCAGGAGGTCACAAAAAGGATTCTAAGGTAAGCAAAGTGCAGCTAAGTTAACATGAAAACAAACTGAAGTGTGTCAAATGGGGGCAGTCATATTGAACTGTATCCAGCAGAAACCTGATGCATCTGTAGTGGAGGTTTGGGGCTGACCAGAGACAAATTTGGGATGTATGATGTGGGAGAAAATAAGCAAGTGGTCTCTTGCATGAGCAGCACTATATAATACTAAAGTACCCACTGCAAAGGTATCAGAGCTACAAGTGCATGTCTGATTCAGGTACTAGGTTACATGTGATGATGTAAAGTTATGTTAATGGAATGCATTTCTATAATTACAAACAATAACTGAAGAGTATATGTTTATTCAGGAGAATGCTTCATAGAATTTAGTACCTTAAATTTCATAATATCTGGCTATCAAGCATCTTCCCCCTGCCTTTTGGAATTTTTCTTTTATACTTGATAGTTTAAAAATCCAGGTGGAACGATAGAATTCTTGAGAAGGTATTTTAAATGGACACTAATATATATATATTTATTATTCTAGGTTCCTCCAGAATTTGATTTTTCTCCTCATAGATACTTCCCAGTAGTGAAACTTGTTTGAAAAGAAAGGTTTAGGGGAACAGATGGATTATAATTTGTGTAATAAAGCTGCCTTGGAGAGACTCCTTTATGCTGTGCTGAAAAGGGACAGAAAACTCTTGGTCAAAAGTACTGTTATCAGGAGCAACTTCATTCAGCCCTAACAGCTGGAATACCTGCTGTTTTAAAATGGTATGTGTAATGTTCTTCTACTGGAGCTGATTTTATAACTACATTGTTGAAGCAGTATATGTTTTGATTTTATTGTAGATTTATCTATAAATCATTTTTATGAATGGTGTTGGAACATTTCATAACATGCTTGACCACTCTGAAAATACAATGCAATAAAGGAAGCTGTTCTGTTTTGATATGCATTAGAATTCACTTCTAAGAAAACAAATATGCTGGTCCTGCTGCATGTTTCTGTGGGAGCCTCTGATCAAATTTGGTTAGCTTGCAAATACTAAAGTTTCACCCATAGAGTTTGGCTAGCTGTTACTTCTGATTATCATGCTATTGGGCCAAAAAAAAAAAAACCTTTCAAAAGAAACTGTCAGTTTTTGTTTCATGCTCTGGCCCTTGATAGATTCTATTTATATATTCTTGAGTAACACTGGAAGGATTCTACACCTCTTCACTCTTTGTATTTTGATTGCTCACTGCTCTAGCAAATAGCTAGCATCTACATTTAAATTAGTTTTCATTGTTCAGGGATTGTTTTATAACATTTTTGCAAGGGGACATCTTTGGTATCCTCAGTTAAAAGTATGGTACATACAGACATCAGCTTCCTTATAAAACAAGTCTGCCTCAGGATTACTTTCTAATGAATCAGCTAAATGCAGTATTGAATTTGAAGCAAATGCAGTTTAGAGGGTTTTTTTGTTCACACATTTGAATTACAGATAATCCTCGGGTTACGACAGCAGTTGGGACCAGAATTTCTGTTGCTAAGCAGTGCAGTCTTATAGCACGACATCATGAGACTGCATCACTTAGTGGAGGCAATCCTGGCAGTCCTGGTTGCCGTCATAACCCCAGGACCATGCAGGTTATTAAGTGAGGACCTCACATGACTATGATGTGGGAAGAGGCAGGAGTCCCAGCAAGCAGGCTGATAAGTGACAGGTACAGGCAGACAGATGGGTGCAAAGGGCAGGCATGTGGGTGCCATGAGTAGGTGCTACAGAGGGCAGATGGGTAAAAAAGTGGCAGGAGCAACTTGTAACCTCCTGCTGGCTTCCCCATTGACTTTACTTGTGGGAAGCTGGCAGGGAAAGTCACAAATGATAATCACGCAACCGTGGGACACTGCAACCATTGTAATTGAGAGCTGGTTGCCAAGCGCCCAAATCGTGATCATGTGCCTGTGGGGATTCTGTGATGGCCGCAACTTCAAGGACCGGTTATGAGTCCCCCTCATTCAGGGCCATTGTAACTTTGAATGGTTGTTGAACAAGTGGTCATAACCCCAGGATTACGTATATGGAATATCAGCTTAATCTATGCAAGTAGAACTATTAAATGGAACCGTAGGTTTGTGCAAATAAAAATTAACAATTTTTGAAAGATTAACCCCTACAATAACTAAAGACTAAGAATCAAGATACACATTACAGAACACTGTTTCCACTGAGTGCAGTATTTTATTGATAGTGACCTAACAACCAGATTACAAGTATCTTGAGAACCCACTGATTTTATAATCAAGAACTTAATCAAAATTAAGCCAGTATTTGCATTTGACAAAATATTATAGTAATCAGTTAATTTTTTCTTTGTTGTACAAAATAATTGTATTGCACTTATTCTATTCTAGTTATCTTCAACGGGGCTAAAGTGCTATCATCAATGTTGGCAGCAAATTAGCATTATACCCTATATGATATTGCAGTTCTTTATTTTACATCAAAATAAGATACAGTATGAAGCAGCAAAACATTTGGGGTGTATATATTCATTTTATCCATATATTCAAGTATAATTTTATGTACATAGTTGGCTAACTCTTCTATATTAGAATTTCAGAATGGGTAAAGCCTGTTAAACAAATGCAAGAGATCCAATGCATTTGGTTAACTACCATTCCTACAATTCAAAAAAGAGAACTATGTTTGAATAAAAGAGATGTAGACATACAGCTTGGTTTTATGCATATTTACTTGATACCACATCCTACTGTATTACCTCAGAGGAAAGCACTTAAAGTAGTATAGTTCTTTAGGATACTTTCTTTCTGGAGAAGGGAAGTGTAAAATTGACTAAGTTCAGTTTGTAAACAGAATAATAATATGGAAACAGATATGAACAGAAGCAGGACAAACATCTCTCAAGCTAGTCTATGTAACATTCCCAATTTTTAGAGCAAGACAATTTGTATCTAAGGTGTTACTGTTATAATTCAAAAAGGAAACTATACCTGGTAGCTGAATAACAGGCTGATTTCATATATTTTCAGTGACTCCCTTCCACCTGCAACACTGTCATAGTCTAGTTCATGGATGTAAAACCAGCCTATTAAGTCTGGAGATAATATTCCTGATGAAGAGGAATCAGGACTGATTTAAATCCCCTGATTCAAATTTTGTAAAATTTTTGAGATGGACTTGCCTAAATAGTTTTGCAAGAGTCACAGACTGATATTGCTATTCACAGTTTCTGCTGTTGAGCTTCACTGAGCTTAAATAAGCGGATTTCCATTTTGGGATCTTCAAGATTTTGAACTAAAAAAAAAGAAAATAATTAAACTGGAATAATTAAGAACTTATCTCTATTTTACTCCTATTACTTACTCTTACCTGCACAATCTACATTGTGACAAACTTTCATTTGTAAAGTCTTTCTTCCAGACAAGATTGCAAGTTCATTAATTAAAAGACAAATCACAATGCAAACTTTACCCAGAACATGGAAATTACAAAGATTTACCATTGAAGTTATTTTGCTGGCCAACAAGAACAGCTTGCTTATCTGTTTCTGATTCTGCCTCATTCGTATCTAAATTGTAATCTTCCCCTTTATTATCCTGGCCCACTCTTCTCATTTCAAATTCACCTGTGAAATCAAGCCAAAAAATAACTCATGCATCTTTCAGTAGAAAAGTTGTCTTCCAATTTTATTGCAAAGGTAACTTTTACTATGCTGAGTTTTCTGCACAATAATACATATGAAGAGAGAAAACTGCACTGAGAATGTAATTAATCATATGCATGAAAGACTAAATCATGACTGGCTTTCCACATTGTGCTTAACTATGGTTTACTGAATGAATCATAATAACTGGCTTTACATCACACTTAAGCCAGAATCAGACAAATCAAATTACAATTTACATTGAATACCATGTTTATAAATGTATAGTAGCATACAATTCTGTAAACAAAGTAGACTTGATAAATTATTCATTTCCTCAAATACTGCAATCCTGGTACAACATGGAGAAAGCAATCTTTATACTAACCATTTTTATTAGTTTCCTGGTCATCCTGCTGCAAGTCATCATTTAAGAGTTCCTCTCGTTCAATTTCTTCATCAACTTCTTTTGCTTTTTCGATATTTTGGTGGCCTAAAAGTTCTGAGAATTTGCTAGTCTGGGTTTCTACTGAAGCTTCTCCAAGTACGTTTCTTATTTGCTCATGGTGATTCAGCTCTGGTTCTGGTTCAGGAGGAAATGCTTTATGATCTCTGCTAGAAATAGAAGGTATTTGTAGATGGCCTTGATTGAGAAGAACCTCCTCTTTCATGGACTCTTCATTAGGAGCATCATTGGTTCCTTACATAAACAAAAGAATTTTTAGAGCTGATTTAAGTATTTCAAAAATTAACATGAATGACAATTTTTTCTTGTGTTTGAATCATAGAATGGGAGGTTCAGAGCAACAAAACCTAAAATTATTTCTCTCCTTGGGAGTTGATTTGGGAGCTTAAACTTAAAAAAAAAAAAGCCTATGAAGCCTTTATTCAATTTGCAGCTCCAATTCTGGAGATCACTAAGTTTCTATATATGACTAGGATACACTGTGATATGAAAAAAATACAAGTTGTCCTCTGTACTGAGCCAAAAATCCTCCATGCCAAAATATTTCTCTAACACTTAAGGAGTTTGAGGCCCAAGATATCTGGAGGAATAGTTGGAGAAGGCTGCTGTACTGCAGAAATGGAAGAATGGGCAAGATGCCCTCTTTGTAATTGGGTGAGAATCTGTTAAGTTACAATAAACTGTTGTTGTTGTTACATTAAATACAGTTTATCGTGTTATTTGGATTTATATTAACTTACGGTTAAACAGTCTTCCAAAAAAAAAAAAAAGATACAAAGTATAGGAGTGTTTTTTACTCCCCATGGAGGCTTCATTTGAGAAAAAGGGTCACTGCAAACTTTTTGATGTTAGCCCAGCAAATAGGTAAAAAAAAATTAAAGCCAGGATGTACTCAAACCCAGCAAAGGATATATGACCCAAAGCAGGAGACTGGCAAATCATGGCCAACTTAATTTGCCATATGATCACTGGATGAATATCTTAATTATGATTAATGCTAAACCATACTTACTATGCAGTGCTAAGTTGGTCAATATATTTATATAGATAATCTAGGGTTTGGGACAAGATAAATCATTTACATAAATTTCTCTAGCCTTTAAAATCAGCAACATATCCTCAACTTTCACAAACATCAAGCTAAAAGTAATGCTCAAGTTGGGACTTTGATGAATATGTGTTAACAAAAGGACGGGTATTTTTGGGCTGGGGCCACAATTCTCCATTCTAGCTGGGTGGCAGGCTAAAGGAGATCTGTTAATTTCACTGGAAAACACTATGATGAACATTTTCCACCTATTTTTAATAGGCTTGGGAGCTGTTAAAACAAGGGAAAGAGAATGATTTATCTGTAGAGGCCTTGTGCTAAAATTCCCCCTGCTATGACACCATACTTTACATAGCAAACAGTATTGCCAAAATGTGTCCATTTTATCACTGAATTAGGCCCATGGTGTATGGAATGTGGGAAAGACCTTGGGAGACCAGGCCCAGAGATGTTGTCAAGGGAATAGTCAGATAAGAGACAGCATACCCCGCAGCTGGATAGTAGGCGGGGCAACAGGCTCAGAAGAGACCCTCCCTAGTTTATCAGGCTGTAAAGAAGATTGGGGGAGAACTGTACCTTCAGACTTGCAAGATTCTACCAAAGTAGCTTTACAATAAAGTAGAATTAGCTTATATGGTTGTGATCCCTGTCTGGTTTACCCGGTGAGGCCAACACATGGTCTTTGGATAGCTCATCTCAGGGGACACTTGTAACAGTGATGCAGATGCCAGGACAAGAAATCATACAGCTCATACTATACTAGATCACATTTTCTCTGTTTTAGCCAGACGTAACCTCTAGAAGATGGAAAATGAGTAGCCAGGGTCCTAATCAAGGTGGCACATTAGAAGAAAAATATTTTTTTCTGTTAAGGGTTGAAATCACTTGATCTTATGGCAATGGGTCTGTTAACCAAGGATAACTATAGCTGGAGACTAACAGCAAATAAGGATAGATTAAATTAAGGCTGCATCAGAAAGAGAGGAACTGGATCCATTGTGGACTTTAGAACAAAAGGTCATTAGTTGAGAATCCCACAACTTTACAGGAGTTGAACAATTCCAAGATGGCAAAGGGCAGGCAATTCCAAGATGGCAAGAAAGTTGGCTGACTCCAGGCTCAGGTTCAGACTCTAGAACTGAACATCATCAGGGAGTAAGTTCAACTTGCTTTGCCATTTAGTGTCCAGGCTTCACTGCTTAAAAAGTGCTCAGCTTGGTCACAGTTCCATGAAAATATCAGGAGAGAAGTTTCCAAGTCAAATGAAATTCATCAGAGAAGCCAAGCCCATTGGACAAAGGTTAAGCTTTAATGAAAGATTAAAGATCACTAGCTAAGTACAAGTCTCTACACTGGATATACCAACTATTAATTAAGCAATGCCATTTTATGGGGCCCAAATGGTGTACCTTCTCTGTTGCTGTCCATGCCCTTTGGAATAATGTTCCCCTGAGATCTGTACGGCCGAACTCTGTTGGCTTTTAGAAAAGCACTTAAGGCTTGGCTCCTCCTGCAAACTCTGGGATATGATGGGATATAGCCCTACTAATCATGGATATGTATGGTGTTTGCAACTGATCTTCCTCAGCATAGCTGTCTTTTTAATGTAATGTTTGGTGTTTATTGCTTTTAATTCTACCTCCGTTCAAACAGAAGAAATAATGTTTTAGCACATCTTTGTGTGGATTGTACTGCATATTCAACTTGGACCTTCTTCTTGCCTGAAACATGCAGTACTGCCTTTAGATATATAAAGCATTAAACCATATTGTATAAATCACATACCATAGAACATACAGCAGCAATACAATTCAAACTAATATAATTAAACAAACAGGTGTCACGCCCCCTCTCCAATGTCCTTCTAAAGACTTATTTTCAAGGCCTTCCTGAAACTCAGGAGCAAAGTGCTGTCTAGATCTCTGGCTAGAAACTGTTCCAAAGGGTGGGCATTATCACAGAAAAACATAGAGCAAAGATTTCCCTAGCCACAGTCTCTACCTCCTTATCCAGCAATATCTATGAAACTAGGGAAACCCCCAAATTGTGGATCTTCAAGGGGAGTGCAACCCTATCCAGAGTAATCACTGGAAGAGTTCAGAGTTCCAGATGGTTTCTGTTTAAGCCTTACTAGCAAGCTTATGTTTGCCATGTAGCTTAATTATTGAGTGAGATGGGTGGTGACTAAATTTAAAATATAAATAAATAATTATATTGGAGGACTCAAACTTATTGCACAAGATTTCTCTGAAAACAGAATCAAGGTGCACTTAAAAATCAACAAAAGCTGTACATTGTGCCACTTTGGGTTTCCTAGAGTTTTTATCAACCAACACTTTACTGTAAAGTCTGCTTGTTCCTTGCCTAGAATGTTCACCTGCTCCCCCAGTCACTAACATCCAGCAACAAACGATGTTGCTTAGGCTGTGGGTCTAGACCCAGAATTTTAAGAGAAATAAGACAAGGTGATTAATAGTATTTTATCTCATGCAGGCCAGCTCAATTTCCTGTTACACAGCTTCTTTTATAAACAGGTGAATAATCAGAGGATTTCTTTATACATTGCTAAGAAGCAGGACAGTGTGAAGCAGAGGTTAATTTTCATAATAAGAATACCAAAATTAATGTACCTGTGTCCAAAAAACATTAACATTTTAAGACTGACATAAATCAGCTACATCATGCATCATAATGGAATGACGACTAGAAGAAATTGGAAGAAGTTCCTTTAAAAACAGATTATAGAAAAATTTGGCTAATTAGCCAAATGTCTGAGAAATGATTTCATCTTAATGCCACACTAGTCTTTCCTACATCATTATTTGCCACATCCCTTGCATTAATTAAGGAAAAAGCCTGGGGCAAAAAGTACATTTCATCTTTCTATAGGCTATAAAAATAATAAAAAGCGAGTACTGCTAAATTCAGGAGATGGTATTTCTTACTATAAAGGATTGGTTCTAGAACTCAGTTTCTGTAAATGAAAAGGTTTCTTCCATTCATTAGAACTTCTGATTCAATGGAGGGATCTTGCTGGCAAAGGGAAGATGACCTTGAAAATTCTCCCTCCCCCAAAGTCATGTCACATACAACACTCCCAAAAAATTTCAAACAAGGAGTGGAGGTGGGGAAAGTAAGGGGTAAAACTCTATTTGGGGAATCTCCCTTGGAAGAAGCTCTATATCTGAAAGTTGCCAGAAGAAACATATTTGCCCGACAAGATGATGAGGGATTTTTCCTGAAATATTTAGACTGTGAATTGAAAGGGAAAAGGTCCTCTTGCATTCACCCTTCTTTGGAGTATGGCCTCTGGTAGTGCATATACACACATATTAGCAATATGCAAAATTCAGCAACCAAATGGAACAAGAGACCTCTACAATATTCTCCAGACCATTCCCTTCTGGGGGCAGTTAGCATATTCCAGAAATAAATTCCACAGACTAAAAATGGTTCAAAATGTCCTAGATAGGGCATTCATATTCATATTCAGTTAAGTACTGTATTTAAATGACTTATTTAACTATATGTATTGAAAACACAGTTGTAATATTAAATAAAATTTCTGAACTATTAACTATTTTAAGCAATGATTTGATCATGATTCAGATCACCCCAGATGGAGACTGCAGCCATGAAATTAAAAGACACTTGCTTCTTGGGAGGAAAG